GAAGCAGAAGTGCACAGAGAGGGAGGCTTGTCGTGTACACTCAGTGAGGAAGAAATGGGGAAACAGGTGGTCTAGTAAGGGACTATATCATGACAAGACTACACAAGCGCATCAAATTATAATGACGGTATTTTAGAGACCTCGTGAGGCAGCTCAGGCTCGAGTGAGTCCAAGCATTTCCCTGATCAGCAGAAGCTGAAAGTGAACCTAACTTTTCTGAATGAGAGGGCAGGATTTTGTGTCATGGGCATTGCTTTGAGTTAAACAATCTCTCTTGTTCCAGTAATAAAATCACATACTTCCCCACATGCTGGAAAATCCCTCATTAACATCCTTGGCCAAAAGGGAAGTGCAATTTGTATACTCTTGGGCAAACAATACAGAAAGAATCCTGTGTGGTTTCAGGAATTATAATATAATAATATAATAATAATATTTCACACATGAGTTCAATGCTGATTACAACTGCCATTTTAGTGATACAAAATTAGCTCGTTCTGCCTCATGTGGGATCAAACTTTGGCACAGGAGTTATCAGCCAAAATGCAGTTTGTTGCTGACGTGATTTGTGAAAGGGCTTCAGGGGGTAAAGCTCGTTTCATATCTAACACAAAACATCATGTTCTCAGTTCAGCTGTTCATTTTGTTCTTCCTAAGCATCTGCATTCCTACATAATTTGAAAACGAACAATAATCACCAAATTTGTACTATGACATTAAAGTGCCGCCTTTTCAAAACTTATTTCATAAATAGTGAAGTTACTTACATTTTGAAAAACTGACACAGAACATTCCCTGGAAATGTTATTCATGAAGTATTATTATGAGGCAGTTCATGCAGTTCAGAGAGACTGGACTCTCCTCTGAAGTGTAGGCTCTCCTTTCTATGCTGCCTCATCCATTGGGGAGAAGTTGGCCTGGAGGAACATCCGGCTCTTGTACTTGTTTACTGATTATCTTGGGCATGTCATTCAACCTCTCAGTGTTCTCGTATGTACAAAAGACTTTACAATATGTATCTGCTCTTGTAGGGAGATTGTGAAGATTAGTTGCTGTTTGGATAGCATTTTATCCAGGCTAAGTTTTATTCCCAAAGTAAGACTCCAAAACCTATATGCACCAATGAGGAATTAGCTTGGGGCAAATATTCTGTGCTGATTATGCAAGAATATCGTTTGAAGCCAGTGGAAGCTCTTTTGTATGTTTCATTTGGGCTTGCTATGAATTTTAGTGAATTCATATCAGTGAGTAAGAATATATTTGATTGTATTTCATATTGTATGAAATTGGTGCAAAGATGATACAATAGAAGCATCACACCTTATGAAGCATGTAAAGCCCCAGTCAAGTTCTATGCAAGAATGCCTTGCTTTTAGTGCACTCAGTCAGCTCTATCTGTGCCAATATGTTCAAAGGAATTAGTGTCAAGGGACAATTCCATTTTTGGTACTCTGATTGGAGATGCTTTAGTGAGTCTTATTATCTGAAAGGTCTGAACACACCAAACAAAGTCCCCTAAATCAGAGTGAGATGCATATTGGTGCGGAAAAACCTGCTCGGGGTCATGGCTCCTTCCCTATTCTGGCAAAGGGTGTCACTAAGCTGACAGGTGACATTGGATTGAGAGACTGCATGAAGAGTGTAACCTTTATATTTCCTGAAGGAGTTGACTGTACAAGGAACTGTAAACCTTCACATCTATTTGGTGCTAAGTACATAGTTTGACTGCGGCATCAATATCCCTTGTATGCTTTCACTCTCCTGCAGGGTTATAGCCCCACAGTTCTTTCGCCAGGGTAAACCTGTGGCTGCTTATTGGCTCCTTCTGGAGACCTAGGCCTTGGTGGCCACCAAAAGCCACTGCTCTGCGAGCCCCTTCATCATGCAAGAGAAGCTGGGGCTACTCTGTTGGAACAGAGGGAATTTTGTTATTGGTGGTCTAGATGAAAGTTTTTTACTTTGCCTCAGACTTTAGGAGAGCAAACAATCTGTCTGCTTCACTTCCTCATTTGTCCTGTAAGACTATAACAGAAGTCAATACTAAAGGGAAGTTAAGGAAGTAAGTTACAGATGACTGAATCCTTTTGCTGTCCATATAGGTATGCAGCCAAACAGCTGTGTTCAAACCCAGATGAAGCTGTTACATGAGTACTTAAGACATGCCATTTATGACATGCTTTATAAACTAATGGAGCTTTGTTTAGATTGGTCTAGATGGAAGAAGAGCAATACTGTGAAGTGGGTGCTAGTAGTGTTGGGGACTCAATAAGTAACATTTTCCTCTTGATCCAGCATTTGTTAATGCCCTGGCTAAAGTGTTAGGTGATATTCTCCTGCTACAAGTGCTGGCTTAAAAGAGAAGTGAGACTTAAGTACTGAGATTTGTTATTACATATTGAACTTTTTTATGAGTGCAGATATGATAATCCTGTAGATCTGTTTGAGCTCCAAATTAGGTAATTTCATAGTGTCTCTAAACTCTCCCTCCAGGTTCAGCTGTACACAACATTATCCCTTGCTTTTGTAAACTGTTGTGTGCCCTGGCTTTGTACTGTTGAACAGCTGCAGTGTCCAGCCGTAGAAGTGATGGCACTGAGCCTTATCCTTGTCCACTTCACAGGGGCAATGTGTGGCTTCATTAGGACATGCGTTCCTTTTTTGCTACTTCAGTAATGCTTTTAAACAAAAATTCTCGGTGCCTCAGTGGAAAGCAGCTTTTTTTTTCAGTCATTAAAGTCTATGGGATCATGATCCAAAAAGCCTATGAATGCTTCAGAAAGGCTGATTATCCCAAGGACATTTCAACTGCTGCCCTCCGAAGGGAAGGTGCAAGTGAGAACTCTGTAATCGATTCTTGAAGCATTGCATTGCTATGTCCCAGCTAAACAGGAAGTATAGGTATTGCGTGTTTGAGATAGAAACACAAACATTTCTGTGAAATTGTTAATGACTGTCTTCTGGGTCCCATATAATGGTAGATCGTCAGGAGCAAATTCAGCGAATTTGCTGGATTTCGATGTGCACCCACCGGTAGCCACTGCTGCTGCAGTTCTTCACTGTAGCTGATGTCCTTTGTGGTGTTTGCTCTCTCTGTGTTGTCAAACAGGTCTGGCAAGGTTTTGGCAGACTCTCAGCCAGTTAACCAAGCACTGTACTCAGACACCCTGTTTATCACCATCATCTCTGCGGCTGCTGGCAGGCGAGCCGGGCTTTCGAGGGTAAGAGACCAAAAGGTGTCAGCCTCATTTGTACCTTATAAATAGCAACACGACATCTTCCCGCTGCCTTGCACCGCACGTGCCCACGCGTGCACGAGCCAGCACGTCGCGGCC